CTCGTCACATATATAATTTTTAACTTTAATATTAAATCTGTTTTAACTATTAAGTTTGAGATACGGCACCAACCTTTGTCATAATTATGATGAAAAACACTGGGCAGTATAGACGAATACATGCCCGGTAAATTAACTAAAATAAATTAAATAAACTAATTGAACTAATGCGTAATTAACTAGACGATATAAGTTCCGGTGTCAGATAGGAGGCAATACCCTTTTGAAAAAGTCTATAATTGACGAAACGCATCAAGGGGATCCGCTGTTTCCTCGATGACACACTGGAAAAACCTTCAAAGGCTGGGCGCCCTTTATACCCATATGCTAATTTTATTCAACAAATCTTGTAAGTGCGATCATTTTCTATCTGGAATAAAGGACTTTGTGATTACACTTAGATCTGCTTTCTCCCTTGTGTTTTTCCCCTTCTTCCTCCCTCGGTTGGACTGCACCTGGAGGACGTTCGACATCGGTACTGAGACCGTGTGCTGACCGATTGGAGGATAGAGTAGAAAACAGAGGTGTCGGGGACTCAGTGACTGAATACAAAGTAATAGACAATTTGATTTTTAGTTTTCTTTGATTGAAAGAACTTTTGGTGGAGCTCCAATCCACGTTCTACATAGAGACATTGTAAACTGATGACTGAGGCCGGCATATAACAATTTGAATATTGAATATGTTCTAGGATTGGCTCAATCTGTTTGCTTTTTTTCGATTTGGGACTATGATAAAAGCTGATTGGTTGGCATGGGCAGCTGCTCAAGATTCTGTCTCTGCTCCACTTTTGATAAATTACCCCCAGAGTGTATAACAAAATATTTAAAGTTCATTGTAGTGTGCCACTTTGCTCAAACAGGGTCATGAACAGTATTTTTTTTTCATTTATTGTGATGCATGGTAGCCCATTTATAAGGACTGGGCTGCCCTAACACAATGCATGTTAAAGCGTACTACAATGTACATTAAAGTGTGCCATATTGTGTGATACCGTTTGTGCATGAAGACACCATTAAGACACCAAAATGGAAGGTTTGAAGGTGACACCAAAATGGAATGTTTGAAGGTAAATCCACCCTAACAAACAGATGTGCCCACAGATATGAATTAGCACAATTAAAAATGATGGCAAGCTGTATGCATAGATTGGGCATAAAACTGTGATGTCCAACTGCTAGGGTTCCTAAAGTGAGGCTACAGAATGTTCACAATGAAGAGAAAGAAACCTAAACATAGTAAGTAGAAATCTGTATTTTACTGACAGTGATCTACAAAACAAAGTATTTATTTGTAAACTTAATTCTGCTTTAATGGCAGCGCTCATATTTTATGAAAAGTTTACTTTAAAAATGTTAATTAAGTAAATAAACAGCATAAAACAGATTTTTAAACTGATATTTATTGAAAAGCTTTTTTAAAATGCATATGGTTTCCAGGCTTTGTGCTGGGAATATCTGACCATGGTGTCGAATGCTAGACTTAATTTGTGTAAGTCTAGCATCCTCAAACACCTGTATGATCAGTCATATGTGGCATGCATACCATGAACATAATTTTAGGGCTTAACATGACAAGACAGGTACCTTTGATTTTAGCTCATTAGGCCCTAAGTGGAAAAGCTGAATCCGTGTTACTATATAATACGTACTTCTAGGATTAAAATCAAGTGCACTTTAATAAAACAAATATGAAGGCAGACAAATTTTTAAAAACAGCTAGAAAATGAGCTAATATCAGATATTTTAAATAAGCTATTATCATCTATTATAGACATAGGATTCATGCATAGGATCTTCTTATGCTTTTACAAGCATGTCATCTGTGCACAGCCAATTTCTTCTTATTTTTGTACAATTTTACATTTAATCTATTGTTACATTTTACATGTATTTTTATTACTATCATAAAGGTGTAAATATACATCCTATTTGATGCTTTACATGGGTTCCCAGGAGAGACCTATTGTTCTCTGAGAGACCCACTGAGCAGTTAGATGACCGCAAGAACATCTCTCTAAAGGTGCCCATACACCTTACGATTGTCGTACGATAATCTAAGGTTGCCAGCACGTCTGCGGTTCTTCTCGACCTGGGTAAAGGGCCCTTTAAGTGCACCTATCTCCACAGGTTCCTCTCTCCTAGGCGGACTTGGTCTCGGGATCGGACTGGGGTATCCACTCCCTCGTTCCGCCCTGCGGTCTCGGATATGCCGGTCAATGGCCACGGCTCTGTGGATAAGTGCGTCTAGCGTAACCGGTAGGTCTGCGCGTGCGAGTTCGTCCTTCAGCATTTCGGACAGCCCCAGACGAAACTGATTTCGTAGGCTTAACTCATTCCATTGAGTCTCTCTAGCCCATCTTTGGAATTCCGCGATATAGTCTTCGACGGGTCGTTTTCGATGTTTCAGGCTACGGATGGCGGACTCGGCTGTAAGCTGTTTACAGGGATCTTCGTAGAGGAGATCCATTGCCTGGATGAACTCTGGGTAGGAGTCAAGTATCGGATCCTCATTCTCAATAAAGGTGTTAGCCCATGCTCTGGGTTCACCACGTAGATATGATATGAGGGTCCTTACCTTGATGTGGTCGTTTACGTAAGTCCTTGGTTTTAGATCGAACATGAGATTGCAAGCGTTGATGAAATCCCGGTAATGTCGTCTATTGCCAGAGAAGGCATCTGGGGGGCTGACCTTGGGCTCTGGCCCCTCCCTTGGAGCCTCAGGTGCGTCTCGGTGTTGGGCGAGTCGGCCTCTAAGATCTCGATTTTCAGCCCTTAGTTCAGTCACGTTTGCGGTGAGCGCCTCGATGCGTTGAGTAAGGGTAACGAGGTGCGCGGCAAGCTCCGCTGGATCCATATCCCTACAATGGGAGGTTCTAGCAAACTGTAACGCTTCCTGCGAGCACGATGGCGAGTGTTGGATCTCAGCTGCGGAGGTAAGTGGAAATGGTTCAGTAGACATCCAAGGTGAAACAGACAAACTCCGGACTCATCGGCCCCTTTAGGAAATTCAGTGTAGATTCATTGGGCACAGTTGAATAGGGGTTGGCACAGATCTTTAGTAGGAGAGACACCAGACCTGCTCCTGAGGTCCTCTATATTGCTGGAACCTCTAGCAGCTATCAGCTTCTCTTGTTCTTCTCCTCCAACAGTAACCAAGGCCTCCTCCTGTAACGCTTCCTGCGAGCACGATGGCGAGTGTTGGATCTCAGCTGCGGAGGTAAGTGGAAATGGTTCAGTAGGGAGGTTCGCGGTAACACTTTAAGGTAGTGAGTGCAGTCGGAACCCCTTACACATCATACACCATTTATCCTGGGAGCATTGAGTTGTAATCTTGTTGTATAGTCACGCTCCCAATTATATAGCATTGGGGCCGTGTTGTGAATTGTAGTTCGATTCCTTAGTTGCTTCACTAAGGATCGAACTAATCTGTCTCATAGGTTTTAAGGAATTACTGTCCAGGGTATATGGTGCAACAGTGTTTGAGGAGAGAGCCAGTTAACGTCACTAAGCCCAATATGAGTACATGCAGGTGACAACAACTATGGATAAGCAGCGATAATGGAGTGGATAGCAGAGGAGCAGAGAGGATGTAATATGAGACTTCCCCACAAGGTGGCAGTACCAACACTTCCCCTGTATATAGAATGGTAGTGATATACTTGCTGTTTGGTGAGTCCAGTCAGGGGAAGTGTATTTGTTCCTTGGTGCTGGGGGTATCTGCAGGCTGGATCGATGAACTGTAGCTCCAGAGGCTGGTCACAGGGTCTCTCACAGGGTCTCTGCTCACAATGGGGGTTCCTAATAGCTTGCTCGACGTACTATTTTGCTAGAACGTCGAGCAAGTGTTCAGCCTCAGTTTAAGTAGGCAGAGGCGATTGTTGGGGGCGGAGCCGGAGACGAGATCCGACCCGAGCATCTCCTAGCAACGGGACGCCGCCGGGCCTCGTCCGTCGCGTCACACTGCCTGTGAGAAGGAGAGGAGGAGCGCTGAGGAACGGCCGCCCGTTGCCTAGCAACTGGACGCCGATGACGGGGCCGTCCCCGCGCTGGCCTCAGAGTCCTGCACAGCCTGCGTTCCTGACACCTCCAAGCCTGAGGTCTAACTAAGCATTTCCTACACTCAAGTATTCCCACCCTAGGGGCAGGCTGGACAGCACCCCAACCTGGACTAATCTATAGCTGGAGCCAGACTGAGCACATGGCAATTCCCTTGAGTTTATATGCCCTGCCCCAGCATGCAACACTGGCTATCAGAGCCCTAGTGATTGGTCCAATACGGCTGCCGGCGTGTTCTGAAAACGAATTTATGTATGCCCGAATATCGTTTTAGTATATTCGAGCATATATTAAATTCCTTATTTCGGAGTGAGGAAACGACCACCAGGCGTGAATCCGGGTACCCTCAGTGTCAGAGCATTGCCAGCATGATGAGGATCTAGTAGGAATCATCTTATGCAAGATACTCGGGCTATAGTACCAGCAAGTCAAGAGTTTAAATCCTCGTTCTTGTGTTGCACTGGAAATAGACATTTTGTGGGTAAGTGTGAATGAGGTGTGTAGTTCAAGACTCAAATCTTGCAAAAGGGCCCTCCATATCATGTTTGGTGGGAAAATGCTGTAGCATTTGATGGAAGTCACTGTGTGACTCCTCATAACCTATCTCCTCATCAGAGGAGCGTAAGATGTCACGAAGGGACAACGGAGAATGTAGGGGATGTAGCAGGTGCGGGGACGTGAGGAGGAAGTGCGCCTTACCCTCCTGCCGCTGTGCCTGGGCTTTCAGGGAGCTGTGGAAATAAGTCCTAATGTTGGGTCTAGGAGGCAGGTGAGGTTCGTTCTGGAGCCGGGCGCCTTCTTCTTTGTGCCCGGACTTATGTTGACTCTGTGTCGCTGTAACGATCGGCGATGAGAGAGGATGTCTGACCTCCGCCATTAGAAGGCTCCGCCCCAATGTTTTCTTCCCAATTAACCATGACATCTTCTTCATAATGGCCAACGATGTCTCACTGCAGGGTGCTGTTTTTCTTTTATTTCAGTGTGGCCGGTTGGGTGGAGTTGCACCATCCATCCTTTGACAGGGTCCGTGAATAGAGAAACTGCAAGTCCCATCAGCCACCACAGCAGATGAGCTCGTAGTGCTCAATGGAATTCAAGTGCGGTGACATCACAGAACTGCATTAATTTTTTTCTCCTATGTATGTTACTAAATGTCTGAAAAAAGGTTCTTAATTAAATCCAAATTTGATAACATCACAGCACTTGTAGTCCATTCACTCTTCCCCTTGTCCATGTTATTAAATGTTCGAACTGAGATATGGAAATAGTTGGTAGGAGTCTGCAGGAGCCAGAGCATTGCACCCAAGATCCACTGATCGTTTCAATGCAAAAATATAATAAATAAAAAAAATTGTGTGCATGTATTCTTTTTTTTTTTCTAAAAGGTGGACATTGCTATTAAGGAATATCTCCCTAATGGGACTAAAGTTGGCCATACACGGGTGGCCCTTTTGGCACCTGCCCCCTCACTTGACAAACGTTGATGTTTCAATCAACCTTTGTTGAAGGAGTCAGGCTGAAAATTTTTGGGCGAACAACACCTGCATCCCATTAGATGCAGGCGCTATTATGATATTCTGCAGCTGTTGGAACAGTGGCTGCTGAATACAATGTCCGGCAGCGGGGATTCCTCTATGTACATGTGAATAGAGGAATTGCTGGATTTCTTTAATTCAGTCCACCAGATTGAACAAGAAACATTTGTAGTGTTTATGTCCGATTTGAGATGACAAAAAAAGTCACACTGGTTGTATCCATTTTCTGCTTTACGCAAAACATGTTTTTGGCCTTAGTTATACTTTAACTCTGGCAGACTTTGTATTGACAATTCTATACATTGTCATGAATAGATCAATACTGTTCTGCCTGCTGAGTTTAGAAATCCCGGAAAGGCCAGCCACCCATGCCAAGGTCATCTAGCAACAAGGCAACATAGGATGATCAACCTGTTTTTTAAATGCTTTAACACAGATACATACATACAGAGTGTTACTATAAAATAGGCAAGTGTTGTCTCCACCAACAGAGAGAGCTCTGGTAATATGAATAGGAGATAAGAAATGGGGATGAGGGATTGACTATCTCTACGCCCACTTGTACTGTACAAACAAATATAGACACAATCAGAGAACAGGCAGCCTGAGAGTCAGAACATTCGCTGGTCTGCTGTTCTCAGAATCTTTCTACAGCTACAAGGTAAGAAAAACACAATCCATGTAAAAAGAACTTTCCTACATGGACATTGTCACAAGCTCACAGAAAGAGAGATGACGTTGAACTGATGTTTAGATGTTAGTTATTATATGCTGCTGATTTTTTATTCTTTAATGTGTTTATTTTAAAATATGTGGTGAAGTCTTGCGTTTGTTTCGGTCATGTTATTACAAAATGCTGAATGCAAAAGAAAATAGAAAAACTCCCGTTGCAAGATGTTTTAAGCCACAAAGCAAGATAAATAGAATAACAAAAAAAACAACATAATTATTTCAGGTTTATTCATAAGGTACCTTTTGTTATATATTATAATATTTGTTAGATATTTTTTTCTAATATTTTACAGAAGTTTGTAGTTAGGGTTCTAAATAGGCAATATTACACAGAAAGAGGTGCAGTGATGTGCAAACTCAATTGTTTTGCCCTGTATTTTTATTCACATGTACCCTTTAGGATCAGCTTTTACTTGTAGCCTGGACTTGACTTCTAATGTCAGTAGAACACATTTATTATTTTTGGGGAACTGTAACAATACTGTGAGGAAACAAATAGGTCCCCTATCATCCAAAGAAAAGATTTGTGCCGCCCATTCCTTCACTCCCCTTCCTCCACATTCATTAGCCAGGCCATGCAGTGTAGGAAAAAGGAAAGGCACTGTCCATGGGTTAGCAACCCTTTGGTGTTGCAACATGGCATGATTTAGTCATAATGAACATGGTAACCGCAACATACAGGGGTACAGGTACACTTAAGAAGAAGATGGCACATGGACTCATCCACACTCATACACATGTCGATTCACATGCATACACGCTGTAGGTTGGACCATTGCCTTTTTTAAACCTCAAATACTATGTAACTATGTAAAACAGAGCAAGGTATCATTAACATTGTGAAACTTTTTCTGTCTGAGAACTGACGTATCTTATAAGTGGTTAGCGCTTCTGCCTTGTAGCACTGGGAGTACCTGGTTTGAATCCTGGTCAGGTCACTATTTTCAAGGAGTTTGCATGTTCTCCCTGTGCTTGTGTGGGTTTCTTCTGGGTACACCGGCTTTCTCCCACACTCCAAAGACATGCTGGTAGGTTAATTGGCTCCTGTCTAAATTGGCCCTCGTACGTATGCATGTGACATAGGGACCTTAGATTGTAAGCTCCTTGAGAGCAGGTACTGATGTGAATGTGCACAGTGTAAAGCGCTGTGTAAATTGTTGGCGCTATATAAATACCAATTATAAATAAATATACAAAAATACATATACAAAATTGCACCTTTTTGTACAAGGACACTAAATATGTTTCTGGCACAAAGAACGGGGAAGTTGTATACAAAATATTTATATTTGTTTTGTTTTAGTTTTGTGTATTTTTAGCACAACAGTAGATTGAGTAAAAAAAAAAAATACATATGACTCAGCAATAGAATAAACAACTAAAGAAAGAAGGGGAAAGGATTAAAAAAATCAAGGTTGACTAAGGGTTAATAAGAGGTTAGATAGGAACAACTTTAAAAAAAATGCAAACTGGAACTGAATTTATGTGCAGATTAAAGGCCAGCGCATTAACACTTGCCAAAATATACCAAAAAAATAATGTTCCAATGCATTTATGAATAAGGTCAGCACATTCTGCATGGATCATCATATATGAGCCACTGCCAGTGCTTCTCACTCATTGAGCAGGGCCCATCTGTCAAATTGACAGTCTAGTCCTACAGATTATATTAGAAGGGTCATTCTTCCAGTTTAAGCTGCAGAGCTAGGGTCTTTGTGACAGCCTGGTTCCGCTTAGTATATCAGGATCTGCTGTCACCACTCTTGTCCCTTTGTAATCTGTGGGGTTTGGCTCTCAAATTGATAGCCACTGATGTCCCTAGCTGCACCCCCCACTGCAGTGCCCAAGAGATGTGTCTTTCCTCTCATTGCCTTGTCTCTTCATATTTCCATTAAGCAGTGTTTGTATTTAAAGGTACCCTTGCACAAGAGATTACAGTTGCCCAACCCAACCATTTTTTGGCCAGACTGATGAATGATACAATACATTTGAGAGGTCTCCCTGATGCCGACAGATGATCGCTGTTAAGGAAAACAAATGATCGTACAAGTAAAAAATAGCCCTAAATACTACCTTTTCTTCCCGGATAAACTGGTGCCACCCTGCTCACTACTTCTCTCCACTGACAGCTTGCGTAGACATAATTCAGAATGTCGCTTGCAGCTCATAAAGGAACTATATAAGGAATGTTCTCAATGCATTATAGGAGCAGAGCTAGTGTTATTGGTTCCCATAGCCCTAAACTGTTCATTATATAGAGACACTGTCCCTTGTTTGAAACCAAATCCCTCTGTCCCTTGTTCCTCCTCAGTTGTCCTTCTTTTTGGTCTGATGTATAGACCTCTATATACGCATGTACATGTTATAGTGCACTAAACCTTTCATTCAACCACTAAATGATTACGTTTGTTATTTTTAAAAGGTATAGGAAAGTTGGTATTGGTAAAAAAAGGTCACATGGGTTTGCATATAAATTATTTATAATCCTGTAAATGGTGGTGTGGCAGAGGTGTGTTCTTTGCCTACATCTCTTTTAACAAAAGCTCTGTCCTTCTTTCTCATCTCAGAAGGAGATATGAGCTAGTGACAGGTGCAGTGGTTATAACTGTTTTATGGGTGAAAACTTTATCCAGTTGACTTTTATTGGTTTGCACATAAAAAGATTTCTTGCCACCATAAACCTCTGTGTTATTACTTTACACCTGTATTAAATACACAGTTAGCTACAGGAAAAACCATTGCTGGCTCTTGCTTGAAAGTATGAAAGTGCTAGGTCTTCCATTCCTGCTGTAGCCGTGTCCTACAACACTTAATTCATTAATTTCAGCAACATTAAATTCCAAAACACAAATTCAATATGGAATAACATTTAGCTAAGGGCAAGATGTTTCTTTCTATATCCATAAATTAATGGTGATCCCCCACCTGCTGATTCTCACCTTTCCCACCCTGCCATGTCACTCTATTTCTCAGTTGGATCTGGGAATCTGAAGTTGCCTATACGGTGTATGATTTTTCTCGCCCCGTGGGCTGAACCTGAGTTCATGTTAAGCAAATGTCACTAGCACTCCAATAAAAACTTTTATTGATCACTGATGGAACATTTCAGTGCCCCTTTACCAAGATAACAGTGATGGTTGGTTGGATGGTGTTGGAGCCCGCACAGAGTTAAGGTGCCCATACACCTTACGATTATCGGACGATTTTCGTATGCGATCGACTTTTCGTCCGATAATCGTATGTGTGCATTGCAGTGTCCGACCGACATTACTGTACAATCGTACGACTTTTGACGGTCAAGCATGTTTGAAAACTTTGCTAGATCGTACGACTGTCGTAAGGTTGCTGGTGTTTCCGTCCGTCAAAAGTCGTACGATCTACACTGCGCTTGCGCTAACGAAAATACGGCAAATCAATTACCCCATTTCGCCCAGGTGCTTTTCGTTAATTACGGCTAAATTAATCTTGCGATCATCGGGGCAGGATAGGGCTGCCGTACGAAAAATCATACGACTATTCGATCATCGGACGAAAAAGTTAACCTCTTTGGCCTTGTCAGGTGACGGTGCTTGAATTTGGTGATTGGCCACTCATTTTTGAGCACTGCATCTTGGGAAGTCCCATGCTCCCTCACACCCATAAACACCAGGTGTTTACCAAGGATTTCCACAGAGCAACAAAACATTGGGGAAGAATGGTGATGGTGAATATCAATGGGTGGGGGTTCTCTGACAAGAGAACTTTTCACATATATAAAGTATGTGAATTGCCATGTGAATATCATTTGTTTTAAGTAGACCATAATCTTATATAAAAAGTAGAGAAATATGTTCTTTTTTAGTTGACTACATTTTTCAGAATATTTGCTCACATTTATTATGTTCCTCCTAGCAATTCCTGACTGTTATAATATTAGAAAACGAACCACTCCTGATAAATGGCAGATTAGGGAGTGAGTCAGCATTGTGTTTTCATATGTAACTGCCGCAATTTTAATCTGTTAGCTTGTACTGGACATCACCTACGCTTGGGAACATGTTTGGGATGACGATAAGGAATAATGTAATTGGAGTGAACCGATTACAATGTCAACAATCAATAAAGGCTATCACTGGCTTGCTGATAATAGTGAAAATGTAGCCCTATTGGAGAAAGTCTTTTATTGTGCTCAGTATATTAGACGATGAATCACAAGTGTTGAATGTTATTTTTCTAAAGCAGGTCATACATCGGAGCATGTGATTAAAGGCGAGTGGTTTCTTTCAAATTCAATCCACTGGCAACATTCCCAATCTGCTTTTCTAGGTTGATCATTTGGATCCAATAACCTCTTCAAAGAGTATGGTTTGTTACTTCCAGAATCCCTGCCTTCACTTTCTCAATCAGTTAGAGATGGAATACCCCATTGGTATTTCCTTGCTTAAATGAATGACAGCATGAGGAATTACAGGCAAGTTTCCATTATTGTTATTCCTAATTATGCCAACTGATATATAGGAAATATGTCATTTAGCAATCCTTCAATAAGTTCTGACATAATTATGAATGACAACATGGGCATTTCACTCTGTAACTCTAGCTCAGTCAGTCTTGTAAAACAAATTTGTCAGGGTAGGACAAATAGGAGCTGCAATTGCTGACTTATTTTTAAGATACACACTTATGCGTTGCAGTAATGTGACATTAGTGAGAGAAAGCTAGTTAGGAGGCTGAATCTTGCTTAATATGCAACTACTGTTATCCTAGTTTGTGCAATAAATGTGTGCTATATGTATATTGTTGCCCTGAATGCCCTGTGTTGCTTTTCTCCATATGTAATACTTTTACTATACCTCTACTTTGCAAAAACCTCCATCATTTTGCCTAAGCGCTGTACCAAACTTCCTGTAAATTGAGCCCCCCAGTGCTTGTGCATACTGGAACTCTTTTGTGTGCACATGGCTTACTGTACCAGTTCAAAAGAACTTGTACTTCTCCTGCAGCGCATGTGCGTTGCCTTAGTGCATTAAGGTGCCATTAAAAATTGTACCAAGCAATGGTACCAAGCCCCCCAGCATTGGTGTTAGTGGCAGCAATAATAACTTCCAAAACTGGTGTAAGAGGTTGCATAAATAACCCCCATCACTGGTGCTATTGGAAGTGAAAATAAACCCTATTGTTAGTGGTGAATAAGAAAAAAATATACTGGTTGTCAGTGTTGGGACTATTCTTCTACTGTCAGGCAGTGATCATTCTGACAATTTCCATTTTCTTTTAGTGCCAGGTGCTAGAACACTTTGCTGCCACTCTGCAAGTTGCCAGGGGCCACAGCAATTTTTACAGACGGTTAGAAGAAAAAGGACTAGTCACCAGTACTGCCTATGCACTCTTTACAATGCCTTGTTCTGCACTGTGTGTATGTGTGGAAGTAGCCATGGTATAGGTAAGGCTTTTGCTTTTTCATGTCTAGAGCAAAGAGAACAGTGAACAGCGCAGTACTGGCATCTCCAAATCTCACTCCAAATTTCCTGAGAGTAGCAATCAGCGGCAGCAGTGCCTTAGATCCAGGGGTGTCCGTTGACTTATCGCCTCCAGAGGCGGCCAGGGTTTTTTTGGGGATGAATTTGGTAACTGATGGTCGCTGGTAGTGCACGTTACCAGGGGAAGGCGGGGAAAGGGATGCTGGCATGTTACTTCTGGTCTGGCTCTGTCCTGCACCATGCCCAGCTCACTGACATCACTGGTTGCCAGGAGCTGGTGGGACGTTGGCCAGAGTCACAGGTTGCTAAGAGCTCTTAGCGATCTGTAACGCTCTGCCTGGAAAGGGAGCGAAAGGTACACCTACCATCCCCCCATGTGACCGTGACCCACAGAGATGCTGCCTCATTATAGGGATGGCCCTGCTTAGCGCTCACAGTGGCTTAAATCTCACATTGCAGGTACACCGCTATGAGGCTGTCACAACAGATACCCAGACATGCTGTTTTTTAGTGGTAATTCCAGACAAAGGGTACATGTTTTATAGTACTGCTTAGGCACAATTAACATTTCTAAATGTTACCTATAACATTGCAAATCTTCACTTTATTATTTTAGTTCCACTTTAATCCTAGTTGCCATTGTTATTTATTTCTGATTTAGGATAGATGCTGGTTAACTAATTCACATAATGGCTTAATATATCTTAGCTACTCTGATGATGAAAATTATGTTTCAATGTCTGCCATCATGCCACAATGTTACACGGTGGTCTCACTGTAGCTAATAGACTCTCAATTAATATATTTTACAAACTACAGAACACAGAAAAATTAACAAGACACCTTTTCTGGCATATGAGATAATTACCTTTTTCCTTATGGCTTTGTGGAGTGGGTGGATAAACAAACTGTTGCAGGAAAATTCTTAATTAATGTCTTCCAGAAATACAAGAAACCAGCATGTGATTCGCCATACCATTCCTAAACCTAAAACAGAAATATTATTTTAGGGCAGAGCTCATTGCTAATCCAACAGGATTGTTATCATAAATTTGAATATAATGCATATTTTCTTTTTTTCACAGAAGGATGAACAACACACTTCTCACTGACAAGTTCTCCACAGCCCTCCATTTCCAGAAACTTATAATGAACAAATGCCGACATGTACCTGACATTACAGCATTTCTGGGAACATCTTACAGCCTGGTAATTGTCCTGGGCTTGCTGGGGAACAGTTCCTTGATATATGTACTCTGTCGAAGAAAAGAGAAGGGCAATGTGACTAACATTCTTATTGCCAATCTAGCCTTCTCTGACATTCTAGTAGGAATCTTCTGCTTACCGTTCTCAGTTGTCTACACCATCATGGATTACTGGATGTTTGGCCGGTGTTTATGCAAGATCACCAATTTTGTTATGTGTGCATCTGTTACAGTATCAGTCATGATCCTTGTCCTCATTGCTTTGGAAAGACACCAACTTATTCTACATCCCACTGGGTGGAAACCCAGTGTCCTCCAAGCTTACATAGCTATATTACTTGTTTGGGGCATGGCTTCCCTTCTGGCTGTGCCATTGGTCAATGCCGTAGATTTGACAGATGGCATTCACAAAAATATTTCAGATGTTATCGACTCTCTTGCGGACAAGTCTGCTTGCTTTGAGAACTGGACCTCTATTCAGGAAAGGAGAGCATATATTGTGACAATACTGCTCATGCAATACATAGTGCCACTTTGCTTAATTCTATGCTGCTACCTCCGGATATATGTGTATTTGCGCCATAGGGAAGGTCTGTTAGGAAGGAGCTATAGCCACATGAGAAGAATCAACATCATGTTAGGCTTTATGGTTGGAGCCTTTGCCATTTGCTATCTCCCACTTCAAATTTTTAACATAATTGTGGAATGGGACCATCAACTGATTTCCGTGTGCTACCACAATCTTATTTTCTCCTTGTGTCATCTGTTAGCCATGATAACAACTTTCATCAACCCTGTCATCTATGGTCTCCTTAACAGCAATGTGAAGCAAGAAGTAAAGTTATTAGTTGAGAGGTGTGCAGGGCGGACACAGAGGACGCCCCAAACCCTGGAAGAGCCAGAAAAGCATCCACTCTCCAAGTGTGGTTCAGCTTTGCCTGGTTCACCAAGTTCCAATCATGGACAAGATATATGTTGAGAGGCAGCATGTTAGCAGTTACATTCACTGCAAGAAATTTACAGATACAAAAAGGCACACAACATCATAAGGTATACATTACATGTCCACTAGTTGTGAACTTGGTGGACTTGTACATTTTTAAATGCTAATGCTCATATATATGAAGATATCCAAGGCCTGTTATGACTTACGTTAACAAGTACTTGTTTTTTTACATTTATCCTGGAAATCTTTATGAATGCATGAAGCAGAACTCAATAGGGTGGCCAACTAACTTGATTTCTAGAACACCAAGACTGATGGATGTACTTAATGATTAATAGTAACTGAATTAGGAGAATCGCTGAACTGACAACTTTGGAATCTCCTGGATATTTCCCTGCAGATCTGCAGATTCACAGTTCTGAAATCCAGAAAGTCATGGTTTATGAATTGTATATTTTGCCACAGATCGGACAAATATGCATGTATATATTCAGGAGAGTTTCATTGACTGATTCCCCTGCTTTTTCAGTTTCCTCATAATTATTCCACTGGTGAATCCCCATCTGCTTTTGGCCGCTATGGGTGGTAACATGGACAGGTCCACCCTCCACCAGTTTCTAGCAAAATCAGGTATTGTTGCATTGTTGTTATCATATTAAACTTGGATCAGGTATTGTAGCATTATACTAAAATAAGGTTTCTGTATATCCACTATTGTATCTACACGATGTGGGAAGATTGCCTTACTGCTGCTTACAAGGGGATTATGAGAGATTTACATCCATCCATATTGTTCCTATTGTTCCACAGAGTTTTCAGAGGCAGCTGGCTCTTTCCATTTAAAAATATTAATATTTTCCTCTCTGTGACAATGTTCTGCAGTGTTTACATAGTGCAGACCTTTTCTCTGATGCTGGTCGCACCTGCGTAGCATCTCCTACTTGATTGGAGATGTGCTGATAGTGTCTCTACTGTGTTCTATTCATGTTTATGGGGAAAACACCATAGGAGGCCATCCACAGAGAGTTAAGTATGCACCAGGATCAGGTTCTAAGATTTAGATTAGTTTAGGGGGCTAGTCAAGGTTGAAGGCTGTTAGACTTTCTACCAAAAGTGTAGTTGTACTTTAAACAGGAAAGCCCCTTAAAAGATAACATATGTCTTATAACATATGTCACAGCAAGATATAAAGAATTATGTGAACACTTGTATAGTATCTATTTAAATGCTCTTGTGTATTATAACCTGCATTATGTATATGTTTGATATTCTTATTAAAAATAGTTTACATTTTTATGTGTAATTGCTTTTTTATGATTTTCATCACTGTGTTCTGAAACTTTATGAAAAGATTACATTTTAAATATTGTAGTTTGATTTTGAAATGAATGGGGCTATTGCCTTTTTTTCTGAATATGATTTCCAGTTTTTAACTTGAAACTACCTTTTATTTTTAAAGTTAAAATACAGCACCATTATATCTGTATTTCCATTGCACCCTATTTGTTTGTGGTCTCCTTTCGAGACCAAACCCTCTGTCCTCAGACTCCATCCTGAGCAATTAGCTTAGTCTATGCAAAACAGTGTTGTTACCCAGTCCATACTACCTAACTTTCTGAGGCACACATTATAGCACAAAGTATGTAGGCATACCCCTACCACACCACTTATTATGTGGACCACAAACAATTAAAACACAAAAAATTATTGTTTAAACCCTGTAGCAGGTCATCATGTAGAGAGCAAGGAGAGGTCCTGTCCGGGGTTTATGTGTCACCCAGATTCCTCTCTTACACCTTCCGGAACCTATAGTAAGCCCCAGGTTTTACGCTTTGCCTCAGTGGCAATTTAGTGCAGGTGAGGCAAACAGACAGAGCTCTGGAGCCTGGGGAGCAGACAGTCTCTATCTGCTGGAGCACAAGGTTGGTCAATGTGTTTTGCTGAAGCCAGACAAACAATAGGTTTGTACAGATTGGTAGTCAGGACTCTGGTATGTTTAGTTAGGGCCGGGACACGGCTAGGATTTTGTTTTTGAAGTATTTACTTTCTTTGAGCACTGTATATAGCCTGTGTGTTGCACCAATAAATGTAACACTGTCTGAAGACAAGTCACTGGTCTGGTCTCTAAACCTTGCAAGATTGCTCACCCCAGGGAGCAATTGTACCCACTACCTATTCCCCCAGCTCACAACCCACAAGAGCTTCTATTTAATCCTACTTTTCCTTTTATGCTTTCCTTTTATTTCCTTTATAACAAATGCAAATGTTATTTAGCTATAACACTTTTCATAGTTAAATAATTAAAGGAGAACTATGAGGTGAGTGATAGTTCAAGCCGATGTGTGGCAATGAAACTGTCGCATGTCGGCTCAATAGATCGGGAAGTGAGCGAACGCATACCATCGCTCACTCACTTCTCCATCATGCCCCTGCAGATATTCCCCCCTCCCCGCTCCGATCCTCCAGCGCTGACTGGTGGAACGGATGGGGATGGGGTGGGCACAGCTGGCTCTGCCTCTAGATAGGCAGAGCCAGCTGTCAATCACGCAGCTGGGTGGATCTCGACAGTGTCGGGATCTGTCCTCGCCGCGGCGGCCTCAGTATACCGCAAGCTGTAGCTCGCAGTATACTGAACTGGGTCATGGGAGGACGCTAGTTTATGTCCTCCCGTGACCCTGAGGAGAACTATGGGGAAAAACACTTACCCCATAGTTCTCCTCCCTTTTTTATAGATTTTAAAACATTGTACCCAAAAGAGAGAGAACTAAGGAGGAATGAGGGAAAGAGGGACGTGATTCCAAAAAAGGATAGTCCGTCCAAAATGAGGGAAAGCTGGGAGGTATGACCCAGCTTGCTCTCTCCATCTATGGAAAATCCAAAAAAGGGTGACAAACATCATTGCTCAGCATAAGGCATAGTTATTGTGCCTGTTAAATGTGAGATGTCCAGGGCTGCTTTCAGCTGGAGAAGGAGACAATATCATGTCTCTGGGAAGCTCCCAAGCCTGATGGCCGCTATGGAGAATACTGACTAATGTCAAAAAGCCTGTACTGATTAGTCTTGACTCTGTGCTGCCTCTCTCCTCCCCTTTCCCCTAAATGAGCTTGTCGGTTCAAAAGAACGGGGTTGACAAATTTGTGTTGGGCTGTATGTCTGGAAATGCATGTTCGACTACCCTCTAATGTTTTTGTTCAGCTTTAGAGTTACAATGGGGGACTTGGTAAAGCTAAGATCTTTTTTTTTTTTTGAATAAACTTTTTTTATTTTCAGTACAGTTTTATGCGGTTTGGATGGCTGCTAATGTGTTTTAGGTAGCGGGTCAGATGTGGAGCTCAGAAGCAGCACGTCCACTCACATCGCCGGCTAGCCACGCCCCCACCAAAAGCTAAGATCTTAATGGGAGATCTCACTTAGAAGTGAGGGACAATCTCTGCAAAGTGAGAGGGGTCACCCCTCTTAAACAATTTTGGATGTAAGTCCCAGTGACAATGGTCACTAGGACAAATAGCGAGGACAGTAATAAACACTATACTACTTTATCCAAAACTTATCCAAAACTTTAAAAAAAGCTTTGACTAAACATACATTTTAAACCTATGATTGTCCCTCAAGTACTGAGAAATAACAATGCAGTGCTGTGAGCAGCAGTATGCAGGTATTTATAATAGCCCTACATGCCCTAAGCTAAGAAAACATAATTCTCATTCTCATAATCCTGTCATTGTCACTATATGCCGGTCTTATTATTTGCACCATGTTATTAAATATATCCAAGTAAACTCCACCAAAACTAGTATTTCAGATTTTTGTAGGTAACAGGAATTTTAATCAACTGACAGCTTCTCTCAAAGACTACCAAGATAAGATTTACTCAGAGTAGTTAATATCTTTGCCCCATCCCAAAAGGTTAGAAAATGGTCAAAGCTGGACTATCCAGTTATCAATTCATTACATTTTGTGGCTTTTACATTGCAGAGTTTTTCAGAACTGGAAGGGAAAATCTCTCATTAATTCCATTATAATGGAATCATACACAATGGGGTTGATTTACTAACCTTATAAACACACAGTATGTATAATCATGCCTATGGGCATGGCTCCCACCTGGGCGAACTACAGCGCGTAGGAACGCGCTGCAAAACGCCCTACGCCCAAAGAAGTACAGGAGCTTCTTTGGGGCGTTTTGCCGCACGTTTCCATTGGTATTCCTGAGTGTGGATCGGGGTTAACAAAGCGGTAACCCCGAGCCACACTCGGGAATACAGCGTACAGGTCTTGCCTTGTCCCCGATCCCCACTGTGTCTTTGGCAGCTGCCGACTTCCAGGTTCCGTCCCTTGCGAGCGGCCGCGTCGCAGGGGGGCGGAGCCGGCGGGAAGTTTAAAAGTGAAACTAAACATTTTTTTATTTTTTTTAAAAATAGAGAAAATAAAGGGAAAAAAATCACTGAACGAAAAAACACGAAAAAAAACGAGCTGAAAAACGAGCATAAAAAACGCTCAGGTGTGAACCCAGCCTTACTTGCTTATAAGGACATTATATCTGTGTATACAGCAACATGCAGGAAACATAAAGATCATAGACAAGAAAACATGTATACAGATATAACTTCCTCTGTATCACAGACAAGTATGCACGTAGACAAATAGCATACCGACTAGCTTTGCACCACATTGCCATCTAGTGCTCAAAAGATAATATTACATCAGCATAAACAATCCATTCAATTAGGGGCGTCCCTAGCCTTTTCGCTGCCTGAGGTGGTGGTGGTGGGGGGAGTGGGATTTGCTGGTGTACTGGAGGCTTTCTGGCCAGCATCTCACCGAGCTCCTGGCAACAGTTGACATTACAGAGTGTCCTAGGTTGCTAAGAGCTGGGCAGGCAGATGTGTATGGCCCTTAAAAATCTCTCCACCCAGTTCTTAACAACCTGGAATGCTCTGGCCAGAAAGGGGAAGGCAGGCACACTGCAAACATTGTGCCGCCCCCCCCACGTGACCCAAAGTGACGTGGCCTGAGGCAACAACCTGCATTAAATTTATATACATTCAAGTGGTCCCTTAC